TCGGTAGCTCCGGAATCAAGTATCCATGCATTAGAATCATCATCATCATTAGAGCAAATTAGTACATTACCTTCAGTGGTGTGGGAACTTGAATTCAGAATGAGGGAAAGATGTGGTTCAGCAGTAGCTACCGCAGCTTTGCCCGGGTTGCTCTCAGTTGTATCGCGACACTTTCGAGCCTGAAAGTCTGTCCACCAGTCTGGATAGCCATGAAGCTTAAAACATGTCTCACTAGTATGTTTGTTACCTCCACAATGAGAGCACTTAGTGCCATTAACTGGTCCTTTATGTTTGGATTGAGACAATATCTTACTGCTCTGTAATTTGAGACCCCTAAATGCGAGAACTGCTCCAGATGATTCATTGGAGTTGTCTGTCATTACTGCCTGACGGAGAGCTTCCCTCCTAACATGTGCATATGCTTGCTCCACAGTTGGAAACAGTTTCATTTGTAAAACATCACTTCTGATATTGTCTAGGTGGTCATCAAGTCCATCCAAAAACACACACACTCGTTCTTCTTGGACAAGTGTACTGTAGTGTTGGATATCAACTTGACATGTCATCGGATTTGGACGACAAAAATCTATCTCACGCCAAAGTCCTTGGAGATCGTTATAATATTTTTCAAGAGAACCACCGGCTTGTTTAAGACGTGTCACCCGTCGCCGAAGGTCATACACCTGGGAGGTATCACTGCCATCAAAGTACGTGGTAGCAATTGCATCCCACACCAGCTTGGCAGTGGAGAATCGAATAAAGTTGCTGATTAGAGAAGAGTCCATTGAGTTGATTATCCACCCCTTCACAATCGCGTTGTCAGTCCGCCAACGTCGAAACGTAGGATCTGTTTGAGGGGGTTGCGGGAGATCTCCATTGATATATCCCAGTTTGTCTTTGCCCGAGATATACATCTCGACCACCTGGGACCAAAGGGGATAGTTGATGCCATCTAACTTGATGCCAATCGGTGCCACCGTATGGTCAGAGCCAATTTGTGACGGGGCTGAAGCACGGTTCAGAACTTCCGTCATTTTCGTTGTCAACTCAGCAAGAATAGAAGACGAGGTAGCCTCATCGGAGTTTGAATCCGATTCGACCATGGAAGAAGGATGAAAGTGTTACCGTAGGTCTGGATTAAGACCTGGCCTTGATACCATGTCAAACTGAGATTACTCTTTCATATATTTCAATTATATCTTATACAGGAAACTAGGTACTATATATATACATAGAAATCCCTATTTCTAATTATAACTAAATCAGGATAATTATAACCAAATCAGGGTAATTATTAATTAATAACTATATTCCTATTCTAGTTCCTACATTCTTGTTGACAGCTAACGCCAACAGTCATGACATTATTTTATGACAACCTGAGTGCTATTAATATTTCCAAAAATCCTATTCAGCATAGTAGGACTAAGCCCATTGACACCAGACATCATTTCATTAGAGAGCTTGTTAAATGCAAAGTCATAACTCTTGAGCATGTTAACACTGAAAATCAGCTTGCTGATATTTTTGCTAAAGCTCTAGATTCAGTTCAGTTTGAAAACTTGAGAAAGAGACTATGGATCTGTATCTATGAGGACTTATATCAATTATTTCTACTGTTGTGGGTCAACAAAATTCTTCAATCATACCATCTCCATCCTGGTATTTTATTATCTATGAACAATGTTAAGAAAAGAGAATCTCCTTTAGCTTTGTATTATAGATTGTTTAGTGAAACACATATTCCACACATTATTGTGACATCTTCCTAGGTGAAGATCCTGCTGACAAAAGTAATGATGTTGTTGCTGTTGGTGAAATTGTTGCATCTGCTGGTGATGATGTTGATGGAGAAGGAGAAGAGTATGATGCTAAGGCTGATGCCTAATTATTGCCTCTGTAAACCTTTTTGGTTTTGCTTTGTGTACTTGTTTTTATTACTTTATGATTTTGTAAGGGTTAAATGCCCTGGATATGGTTAGTTACTCACCTTTGTCATGTTATGGCTAAAAAGGGGGAACGATTTGTATGCTTGAGGGAGATAATTTGTTATTCTTTGAAGTGGTACTTAGCAGGTTTTTAGGGGGAATCCCTGTTTTGGATTGGACTGCTGCTGCTGTGAATTATTGTCATACATGATGTCCTGGCATGTTGAGAATTTATGTTTCTCGTGGTTGTTATGTTGAGTAGCTTCCACCTGCTGATACTTTGTTGAATTGATTTTTGCTGTCGTGCCTCTGATATTTGTAGTTGATGTATTTTTAAACCTGAGTTGTTTTGATGTTTATGTGTGCAAGGAGTATTAAGTTGTTTTAGCCAAAATAAGTCAAATAGGGAGATTGCTAATTCTCTACTTTTGTGATTGACATTATGTTTGGTAAAACTAACTTAGCAAGATCATATTGAAATAAGATGTCATATCAACTAGAGAAACACGTTGAACAAGATGTCCTATGCAGAATCATTTGACATCGCGTCTGTGTACAACTGGACAATTGGATATTTTTAGTTTATTACAGATGTAAAATATTATGGAAATATTATGATTTCCCATGTGGCACTCGGTTTAAGTATTAAGAGATTCGGGCTGAATTCAAGGAGTATTCTTAGTTTTTAATATTTGAGATAATTTAAGAAACTAATGATTGAAGTCCTATTTTTATGCAAAAGTTTATGTAGATTTTTTGCAGCTGATTTGCTGCATTTTGAAAGCCCAATCTAGTCCAGAAGATTGTTTTAAATAAAATGTCACTAACCTAGTTTTAGTGTGGAACTTACTTGTGTTTTTGTTAGGGTTTGTGTGTGTTAATTGTGAGTCTCTCTAATATCATATTGATAAAAGAATATGATTGTTCTATTGAGTTGTAAGTTCAGTCAACAATTCTAAAGCTTTTAAGTAGTGAATGATTGCGTGTTTTTGAAGGTTATCTTTTAATTCTTTTGAATTGTGTTCTTGTCACTATTTGTGATTGAAAAGGATTTGAGAAGAGTCTCATACCTAAGTGAGTCTTAGGTAGAAGTTAAGCACGGATAATGATTAAGTGAGTAAATTGTAAACTAGTGATAGTTTGTTGTGGGTCTACAAATTGATACTACATAGTTAATTTCATCTCTGACTTGGTAGCCCGTAGAGTAAGTGTTGTTGTACACCGAATTGTGTTAATAATTGTGTGTGTTTCTTTATTTTTCTGCACTGCTTTATTGTTTGAAATTGTTCATTGTATCATTTTTCAGAGATCAATGTATCAACATCTCTTAGAACATCTGAAATCTGTATATCAACAATAAATTTGATATAAGTGTCATGGTTTCATAAGAAACGAGAATAAATTTAGTGTATTCATTTCTTATCATTTGAATATGAATATTTTATTTATCTTATTTATTTATCAATCACTTGCTTCTTCTATTATCCTCTTCTTAAAATTGAACTTACAAATCATTTTTAATCTTTAAGTTTTTGAAAAAAAATTTAAATCACAATTCCACCTCTTTTGTGTTTGTGGTCATTTAGTCAACATAAATGAATGTTCATCATGATTAGTTCACTACCGTTGATCATGGTGAAATATATTTTTGAAGATGTTCCTCTCTACGATGTCAACTAAGTAGGTTTTAAGTTGCAAAAAAGGTTATTATTATGAGTCCATCGCTTCTTTGTTTGAAATCCCTCACTCCTCTGTAAATTTTGGGTTGGACCGTGTTGGTCGAACTTTGACGAGAGGTATGATGTGCCTTCTCTCAATTTGTTGCCACCATGTGCCTTTAAAAAGGAACGAAGCGAATAATTTTCTATTTGTAAAAAAGTCAAAAAATAAACATTAAAAAAAAAACGAAACGGAGCAGCAAGTAACAGTATTAAATTTAAAGTATAAAAACTAAGTTAAGTATTTGTGTTTGGTATCTTCCACTACTCTCAAGTCTCACCTACCTTCTCCTCATTCTCAAAAAATGGGATTCTACTCAACCATAATTGACGAAATATCATTCTACACCGGTCTTTCTCCAACCGCTTTCTTCACCATCGCATTCCTAACCTTCCTCGTTTACCGAACCGTGACTTCCATGTTTGTTTCTCCTCAAGATTTCAACAAACCGCCTGTCGTTTCGGCTCGGTCCGGTTCGCTGTTTGAAGTAGCTGAACCGCGGAGAGAGGCGGTTGAGGTTGGTGAAATGACTGAAACGGAGTTGCGGTTGTATAATGGGTCGGATAAAAGTAAACCTATTTTGATTTCTGTTAAAGGACAGATCTATGATGTTTCAGAGGGCAGGTAATTGCTATTTTCCACGCTTTGCAATTGATAATCCTGGTTGATTTCATGTTGTATGTAATGTGTTTTGACATGTTGTTTTCTTTTATACGCAGAAATTTTTATGGTCCGGGAGGATCTTATACAATGTTTGCCGGAAAGGAATGTAGTCGAGCCCTTGCTCTTTTGTCCTTTAAACCTCAAGATATTAACGGAAACCTCCAAGGTTTGGACGAGTCAGACCTCACAATTTTAGAGGATTGGGAGTATAAATTCATAGAAAAGTACCCTAAAGTTGGTCAGCTTGTTCCAGAACAAAGAACTCAGCAAATTGAGCAGAGTCAAGAAGACTATTTGAATGAATACCAACAGCAAAATAGAAATCTCTAGTGTTGTTGTATAGTATAGGTTGTGTTGTGTAATCCTATGGAATAGTTATTGTGAAAAAATGGATCCAAACTTTGTGTGTGAAATATTGATTTGAGAAAATGTAAACCAGGGAGAATTGTACCTTGAAGTAATGGTGTTTTAATATTTTGAAAACAAACTCACTCTTACACATTATTTTAGCAAAATTAGATTTCCGCACTTTTTAAATTTGCACTTTGGTCCCTAAAGAGTTTTATGAACTTTCTCTCAAGAAGCGGTCACAAAACTTCCACGACTGCGCGCCATGAAAACCCCAAAAAATCAAACATCACGAAACCCTACAAGTAAAATCCAATTCCCAAATCAATAACCACGCCATAGATGGATCATTACAAGGTTCTAGGATTACACAAAACAGCATCCAAGGAAGAAATCAAATCCGCATTCAAAAAACTCGCGTTTCAATTTCATCCAGATAAGCATTCTCAATCACCAAAAGCTGTACAAGAGAATGCAACTCTTCGATTCAAACAGGTTTCTGAAGCGTATGAAATTCTCATGGATGATCGGAAACGAGCCGAGTATAATTACCGGTGGCGTTCCGGTGCCAGTGGTAATAGCAATTATTATTACTCTCAGTATGGTTATGGATATGGTAGAAGTGGGAAGAGTTATGAGTATAAAAGTAGGTCTGGGTTTAATGGTGCTGGTGGTTTTGCGTCTAAATTTGAACTTGCTATTCGGATTTTGACGGCCAGGTCTTCTCTTCTCAATCTTGGATTTGCAGCGTAAGTCTCGAGTTTCTTTTCTTATTATTTTTCTGTTCATTGTGATTGTCGGAGATTTTCACAAGATTTCAAAACATCTTGCATCAGTGAACACATTTTTGTTGAAGAAAAGAAATCAGGTAAAAAACACATGGAACTTAAGTCTCATACTTATCGTATTGATACACCTCATTGGCTTTGAAGAACTCCTTAAATTATTGATACTCAGATCAGAAGTCTGTATCTACCAGACTACAAATGATTTCAAGTATTTAGCTGCTGATTTTAAAAATATTTTTCTGATAATCTGATTGAAGATTCTTGTTCAGGGCTATATTAGGTGTGATGATTGTTGTTGACACAAGTGGAGAATCCCTTTGGAAGATGCAAAATTCTGGGGTAAACTTTTGGTTTTCTCTCTTTTTTTTTTTGTATCCTTTAGAAGCCACTTCCCAGCATAATGATTCCTGTGTTTCATTTTTGCCTCCATATCGTTTTTGAAAGTTTATATTTAGTTAGTCCATATCCACCGGCCTTTTGTCTGTTCTCAGTGATTTCATTATTTAAGCTGAATGAAATTTTATGCTAATGATAAATCCTGCCTCAAAAGATAGTAAGTGAAGTTTAATGGATCCTCTTGTACTAAACAAAGATCATACTTTGTCTTGAAAAACTAGCCACCCACTTGCCCTGATATTACAATTATGCGGTACTAAACGGTTTAGTCTAAACCACAGTCGTAACTAGTAAATCAAAAGGAAAACTAGTAGATGTCTTGTAAAATACTACTCATACAACAAAGTTTCTCTGAATTCTCTTTGATGCACCTATAACAAACTTAGCATTTCCTTCCTAATTAACATTCCTGCAAGGATGTATCACAACCAACCTCCTATATGAAGAACATTCATTGCCCAGTAGAAACCCACTCTGATATGGCTGAAAGCTATCCATTAACCCAAAGAATGGTAACAGAAAAATTTACAGGCTGATAATGTTTCTAAGGTCATAGTCTACCTTTACTATGACCATCATTTTGTTTGTGGACAGTATTACTGTTGTTATATAACAGCTATAGCAGTGCCATAGCGTTATAACGTGGTGAAATTTAAACAAACCACTTTCGTTCTACGATGTGCTATTTAGCACAAAATGTTGCCAAATATTGACTATACCAGCTCAATAGCATTGTCGTAGTAGAGTTTGTAGATGCTGCTAATTTATGCTATCCACAATTGACAATATTAGGTAGTATGTATACCACTGTTTTTATGGGAAAAGATAGTAAAGGTGAAATATGTAACATATTTCACAGTTTCCTGTCATTGATAGCATGACAGCAGCAGATGATTATGCATCTTTCAGTACTGATTTCAATTACCATATTGACATCTTGACTTTTGTGTATAAAAGAAGTGTTTACTCGTTTATTCTTTGAATTTTTTGTGCGATTTAAGCTTCCTTTGTTAACTTTATGTGCAACAATACTGACTTGTCCCTTTGCACTTTTGTAATATTATTTTTCACTCAGAAATCTTTTGAAGAAGCCATGAACACCATTGACAAAGCAAAAGCGTATAAAGAAGATAAGTAACGTGAATGAACGTCCTCGATTTAATTCTCTGCTCTCCACTTCACTTGCCACTCAAATGCTTCATGTTTAATAAATAGTGAATGATGGAAGCTTTGAGTTTTGGGGATTGACTTGATGGCTGTAATCATGGGTGCACCATGATTTACGATATTAGTATGTATTCAATGTACGGGATACTTGATTCTTGGCAGTTACATGGTCTCTCTAGTCACGTGGTCGCAGATTTAGGAGGTTTGATGAAGATCTGATGGCTGATATTGTAAGTTGTATTTTAAATCAGATTTGTTGACGCAGGAATAAGAATCATTTGATTGTGATGCATTAGTCAAGAGTTATTAACTGCATAATTGTGTGCTATTTCTACTGTAGAGAATTTGAGTCAAATGTAGAACATATACTTGTACATGTAACAGAAATTCAATATGTAAATTGATTACAATCCTACTTTTGTCTTTCATTGTCTGAATGTTTGTTCCTTCTCTGCTTCAAATGTTAAGACCCAGTCTTAGGTCATGATGTTCATATAGGCTAATCTTGACAAAACAATTTTTTGACCTGAAAAAACAGCATTAACAAGCAGAAAACAACCAACCGAACAAACCCAGCAAACCACACACTAAACACCCACCCCTAGGGGTGTGGACTTGAAGATCGGAAGCGGTCACCACCCTACCTTCGAGTTTTCGAATCTTAACGGCTTGAGAAAAGTTATGTGAACCACTCATAAAAAATGATCTAAGATAGCTCAGTAATACAATTAACTTGACTTTTGTTCTAGGTATAAATGTTGGGAATTTATTATTACACCCTATAGAGTTCAAAATAACTCTATGAAATAACTCTATGAAAACTCGAAATTGTCCATCTATTTCTAGAAGTATATTTTTGGATGCACTCTTTGCATTACACAAAAGTGTGCAAATTTTGTGCCACCCTAGAGTTAAATTAAAAATTATTTCGGAGATATGTCCATGGCATTAGGAATTAATAAATTTATTCAGAAGCATTACATGCATATGTCCGGAAATGTATCTCTGGTATATTTGTGCGGGAAATTGGAATCTTGTCACCTTTACATGTCAGATTATTTCGAAGATGCATCTCTGGAAAAATCAAAGGTGAAATTGCTAAAAACAACAACATGCATGATCAACTTCATTTGCAATATTTTCCTTAAATCCTCTCTAAAAGCCCTTTTATTCTCAATCAAAATTTTCACTCCAAATATCTATTCTTGTGTTTCATCAAATCAAAAGGAGCTAAAGAAAGTGGAATTTAAGGTAAAATTCATTCATTCCAACCCTCAATCCTCACATTAATCTGGTTTTGAAATAAAAAAGCCCTGCTTTTATTAGAAGTATATTTTCGGAATGCCTATGAACTTGTCCGGAAATACATTTTCGATAACTGTCTGTGCAGATTTTTCAACAATTTTATTCGTGTTATGGATGTTTCTTAGTTTATATGTTTTTGTTTACATTAGTTATGGTGCATTCCGATGTTATCCTCAAACCTATTGTGTCTCAAGATGCTTCACCTATCCTAGTGAAGTTGGTAGATATTCTGAACCATTTTAAAAATGAACAAGAGTATGAATTTCATGATGACATGTTGTAGTGGATTCGTATAGAGGCCACCAAACTAGGATTTGGTGTTGTGATCGGAAGATCCGATAATGGTTCGAATATAAGTGTATTTGTGACATTGAGATGCGAAAGAAGTGGTAAATATAGACCCCCTCTCCAGAATTTCAAACGAGATGAAACTAGTTCAAGAAAATGTGAATGTCCATTTAAGTTGAGTGGTTATCTGTTGATAAAAAATAAGTGGAGATTTAATGTGATATGTGGTTTACATAATCATGATTTATGTGCAAAACTAACATGCCGCCTCTTGCCGGAAGATAAGGAATGTGTTTCTGACATGACATTGAATTTGGTACCTTCCAAAAATATAATTGCAACCTTGAAGCGCAAAAGACTCAAGAATATTTCAAATATCAGGCAAGTATACAATAGGTGCTATCAATACAAATTAGCGCTAAGAGGGATCGAACTGAAATACAAGATATGGTTTCTCGGAAACTTTTTTCCCACTACGCACTGCACCACCACCGAATCCCAATGATCGTATCATTTGTGTTGGGTGAGTTTCAAATCTGCGACATTTTGTTCAAGTGTATTTGAAACCGAGATGCCCTATACCACTTACATCGCATGAGTGGGCAACTCAATATACAATAAAATACGAGACTTGGTCGGACCAATTTATTGAAAGGATGCAAGAGTACACCAAATTGAGCAAAATTGAAATAGAAGAAAAAATGAAAAGTCAAAGAGGGTACCTCCTGTAGATTTGGCCGACGAGAATTATTTCGATTCATTTAAGTGGTTATTTATTATTTTATTGTAAGTGATATTTTATTAATGTGTTATGTTGTCTAATATATGTATTTTGTAGTTTTTCAAAAAAAATTCTGCATTGAATACAAGTTTTTGTTTTTGTTTTGTTATACCATGGAAGTTTATGGAAATACATCTCTGGAATAAAGAGAAAAAAAAGATGGTTCCAGAGTTACATTTCCTGAACGTTCTCTGTCACAAGATAGGGTTTGTGTGGTCCATATTAGCACCCCACTACTATAAATAAACTCACTTGTCATATTGTTTCATACCAAAATACAAAAAATCAGAATGAAAATCACTTGGCATGTTGGAAATATTCACTTTACCGGCAATACACCATCAAGAGAATTTAAATTCACCGAGTACACTCCTCTTAAAGATCTGCAATACACATTATATGACCTTCTACCATATGGCGACAATCACAAAATTGTGAAGATTGAGTATCGCTTGCCATCCGTTGACAAAGAAGGGAAGCTTGAGTTCAACATGAGCTGAAAACGACCGTTGATTTACAAGTTATGTGGAGAACCTTCTTTCGTTTAGAATCAAAAATTTCGATCAAGTGGATGCGACTGTTTCAAGATCGGCCGATGATATATTCAAGATGTTACAACGTACACCTGAATATTGAAGTGTAATATTTGATTTATGTTAAAATTCTTTATGTATTGCTGATTTAATGATATCAATGATATTTTGATTTTGTCAAGTCAATATTTTTTAATTTTGTTTTTCTGCTTTTTGATTACACAATATTCCGAAAATAGACACTCGACATTATTTCAGAGATGTATATCTAAAAATATTAGTAATTTCATAAATATTTGATCCGTTCGAAGATACATCTCCAAAATTTGAAGACATTTTAATATTTTCGTGCGGTATAGTAAGAAATTTCCTAAATGTTAACTAGGAAACAAATGGGTCAGTTTTATTGAAAAAAATGTTGTTTTAAAATTTTGTAACAATTTTAATCCTTCAAGGGCTGATGAATAAAGATTTAGACAACAATTTTAATCCCTCAAGGACTAATGAATAGATTTAAAATGACATGTATTTTGTAAACAATAAATCTTTTAGTGATCAATTGGAAAAGTTAATTTGGTTAAAAACAGGTCTTTTAAAATAAAATTGGGTATAGAATTGCAAGTTACGCTGAAAGAGACATTTTGTTATCTCCTTCGAGTGTTCTTGGTTAGATAACTAGTTATTTTGAAATAAATTCCTATAAGCAACATGAACGAGAAGAATATTTTAGTTAATGTTGATTAAAAATATTTTGTCTATGGAATTGTTTTTAATTTTAAGTTAGGATTAATAGTATTTGACTCAAACTCAATTTTCACTTTTAAAAGTAAATTAGGTGAATATTCAAACACAAATTATTTCATTTTTAACTAAAATTAATTATAAGAATTAAGTTTTATCTGAATAAGTGAGATCGGTTATATATATCAACTTTTATTATAATGTTTTATTCAGAATTATATTTTTATCCAAATCGTTAATCTTGATTTTTTTTTTATAACTTCTTTTATAATTTTTATAATTTTTTTTCTTCTAATTGTTGGACTTCTCTATCTTATCTATCCTTTTTACCACAAAATATATGTCTTCTCTATCTTATCTATCCTTTTTACCATAAAATATATGCCTTCTCTCTACGTATCCAAATTACATAAGTCTAATTTCCATTGTCTTTTATACTATAGGTGTTACCTAAACACTCTCTTTAATATTATCATTTCTAATCTTATTTTGTCTAGTCTTATCACACATCCAATGCAACACCTCTTCTTTGTTACTTATTTTATTCTCATGTTGATTTTTAACCATCAACATTATGTCTGGTACAATATTACAAGTCTTATTGCAGTTTGATAAAATTTTCCCTTCAACTTGAGCAATACGTTTGTGTCACATAAAACCTCTAAATCACTCCTCCATTCAAGCCATCTAGCTTGAATTCAATGGTTTACATCCTCTTTTATTTCTCTATTGCTTTGCATTATAGACCTAAAATATTTAAATCGCGTGGATTATAGGATGATATGGTCTCTAAATTTCACCTTTATGTTAAAAACACTTCTCCTTTTGTTGCACTTTTATTCCATATACCATATCTTACTTCTGTTTAGATTAAAACCACATGTTTCTAAAACTTGTCTTCAAATCTCCAACCTGTAATATTAATCCTCATTTGATTCTCTAAATATAACTATATCATTTGTAAAAAGTATACATCTCAATGTTAACTCTTGGATGTGTTATGTCACCTACATCAGTGTAAAGTCATGCTTCATCAAGTTTATGTTTTGATGATTATAAACATCATGATCAAGGTAAAAAACATTATCAAAAAGAAGAAGAAAAAATATCTACTCAAAATGAACTTTTGGCTTGCATACTAAGTTACTCCTAAAGAAGACTTTGATATTTGATCTTCATTATGGTACAAGAGTGAAGAGTTTAATTCAATATTGTATATTACTATAGTACTCAAAATATGTCTAATATTATGCATACATGTTTCATGCTTTTTAACATAACTAGCATTGCATTTCCAAGCCATTAAAAAGGTTATTTCACTTT